TATCTGCAGACTGGAAGAAGGGGTACCTCGTCAAACTCCCAAAGAAGGGAGACCTAAGTCTTTGCAAGAACTGGCGCGGAATCACGCTCCTGTCCACCCACAGCAAGCAAAATATTAAGCCGCATCATCCTGGAGAGACTAAAGGATGCACTGGATTCAAAACTACGACCGCAACAGGCTGGCTGGTTGGCTGGATTCAGGAAGTACAAATCATGTGCGGATCAAATTGCAACGCTACACTACGCATCATCATAGAACAGAGTATAGAATGGCAGTCGACTCTCTACCTTAACTGATGAAGATACCACACCAACAACTCCAACAACACCAACAACAAACTCCAATCACCATCAACGGGAGAAACTTAAGGGATGTAATCACCTTCACCTATCTAGGCAGCACTGTTTCAATTACAGGCTGGACAGACGAGGATGTCAAAGTCAGAATGGGAAAAGTAAGACAGGCGTTCATCAGCCTGAAACCAGTGTGGAGATCTTCTGCACTCAGCATGCGGAACAAGATACGGATTTTCAACACCAACGTCAAGTCAGTGCTTCTGTATGGTTCAGAGACTTGGCGTGTCACGAAAGGCATTTCCAACAAACTACAGACATTCATCAACAACAACTGCCTACTCTGGCTCGTTACTGAAGATCAGATGGCCAGAAAGAATAAGCAGCAAGGAACTCTGGGAACGAACCAACCAAGAACCTACCGCTGAACAAATATGCACTGGAAGGGAGTGGAGATGGATTGGGCATGCACTGAGAAGGCCGACAGGGGACATCACGCGTCAGGTCAGTCACTCGAGTGGAACCCCGATGGGAAGCGACTAGTTGGGCGTCGGTGCCAAGGGTGATATGGAGGAGGTCGTGCGAGGAGGAAATGAGAGCTTGTGGGCTGTAGTGGAGCCAGGTTCAAAAGATTTCGACGAACAGAGTTCACTGGAGACGTGCTGGACCTCCCTAGGAACCCAAGGGACAAATAATAATGATAATATTAATAAGGGTGGTATGAAAATGGGAATCGCTGTCACGCTATATGTAAAAGACATCGAAAAATAATTTGATGCCTAATTCCATGATTGTCTTCAAAGATCTGTTGCCGTATGGTAATGAAAACTGATACCAATAAGATGGAATGTGGGGAAATCTCCATGTTCCTAGTGGGAACCGGACTTCGAAAAAACTTTAGAGTTGGAAATATTTGGTACGTTTTTACCCATACCACTCAGTTTGATCCTATGCTTTCGCATAAGATTCTTTCTGGCGTAGAAAATACTTTCCACCGAAGTAGAGACCCGTAAACCATCTCGTGAACTTGGCCAGCTACCAGTTATGTTCCTGTCCAGCTTACCTAGTGTGCAATCGGCATTTTCCACGATATCTTTCAATTTATAGCCCCTTTAGCTTAAATCACATACTTTCTCTGTATCTGCACAGAAGTTTTGTTAGTTGGCCTGTGAATAAATTCTCAGCTGTCTGTGCCCCACACCACACAACACAAATTCCTCCTTCACCCATTATAGTCGGAGCCCATATATAAATCTTAGCGTATCGTATGAAAGCCTGAAAACTAAGTTAGCAAATTGTCAGCAGAAAACGTACATGAAACAAGCTACATCTCTAAGAATGTGAGCATACAGAGACTTCCTAACATATCCAGATATGCATAATGACGACCAATTCACTACTAGACTTCCTTCTTCTTTACTTCACCCGATACTGCGTCTTTCTTTATCACTGCACACAATTGCTTCAGAAAGAATGCAGAAACTGAATTCGAGCGCGACGGAATTATTTTTTGTGCAACGAACTTGCGAGTTCTTTTTCTCTCACTTCTTTTCGGGTTTTTCTGAATATTTTTCCTGTTTGTTTCTCTTGTCTTTTCTGAATTTCTTCTGTTTGGTGATTTATTTTTGAAGGGATTTCGCTTATTGATGGCATTTAGTTTTTTTTCCGTGTAGATTTATTTATCTGAGTAAGGACCAGTTTTCCTTGAGGGTTCACCTTTTCTTGCCTGCGTCGTGATCTTTCTCTAGAAGATGTCATTATGGAGCAATGCCTACTGCATCTCGTTTTCATGCTGATGGATTATATCCAACGGTGACAGAAATCTAATTGTTGTATTAACATTCTTGTTTTTAGCATTCTGGCAACGTCATAAGCCTAGCGTGGAAGTCGCATTTCCTTGGCTTGCCGCCGCAATTTACCCGAAGCGTGTAACTTTGAATTCGAATTGCCTCACTTGCAGACGAATTTGGAACCTAACTCACCCAGCATCCAACATGTAACAGGAATAGTGAGAGTATAGTTAACTTGTAAGTTTTGAGCTCTCGATTGTAGGTCTTGGGGCTCGGTTATTTCGAAAGTAACAAGACAAGTGGTGTGCGTACATAGGTATAGGGACCTTTGGTATAAAAAAACTTACGTGAATAAATAGATACAACTGAATGTGTTAGCTTGAAGTTTCATATATCTGTAGACAACGAATATAATACATGTACGAAAACCCTGGATTCCGTGGATGACAAGACAATACCTTCATCTTCCCAATCACGTCATTTTTAAAATATTCATCTTGTTGAAAAACTTCATTGCATCAACTTGCAAACTTTTATAACTGTGGGATACTCAGTAAGTAAAGATTGACATCTCTTGAAGCTTAGAAACACTTAATTCACATAAATATGTAGCCAAATGAGCCTAGATGGGGTGTGACTTCATGGTCAGTAAAAAATACCATTGCTACGCTGACGCCAATCGAAGCAAAGTTTACTGCTACCTGCAGACGGTAAATAACTGTTCCATCATGTATAACTCTCAATAAGATAAAGGCAGGACGTGAAAAACTGCTGAAGTCCTGTGTCGCCTGCCCACTAGAAGTTTGGTATTCGTTGTAGTTTCAACATAAATCCTTTGTAGCGTTGAATGCTGGTAAGCTGCCGTTCGTTTTAGAAATCTAGCGTCAAATAAAGTTAGACCACGTATTACAAAGCCTCACCAATAACTTTCTGAATGTATTCCACACAAAGATTCGACAAAATATTGCAGCTTATCAGTCTTGTTAAGCGATAAAAACTACATACCAACGTGTTCAGTTTAAGACAGTCCACAATCCGCACCATCATATGACTGAAACAGGCAATCAATATTTGCAGCGTCATTTGTTTAGATTAAACATATGTCCTTCAGCGGTAGCTCAGATCTTGTGCGAGTACACTGTAGATAATATAACCTGACTGCACGTTGAAAAAATTCATCAGAAATACCTGTGTCCTCATCTCCCAATCAAACGGGAGTGCTCAGTTGATGAAACGGTTGAAGTTTAGAACAGACTGGGGAGACACATGGAAATCATGGCGAATATCTTCATCTTGGTGAGGGATAATATGACCCCAATTCGGTTTTCTTAAAATGAGTAACCTAACAGTTATGAATTCCTTCCATAATTCAGGTTGCATTCTTCAGTACATGACCTGCGTCCAATCATTTCCTACTTGAATATAAACCATTGTGTCATCATCTACTTCCAACCTGTACACGAGAAACTTATTACACTTTTCAGCGGCACTGTTTGCACCGTATCAGAGTTATTAAAAACCTGTATTTTTCGGAACAGTGCCTTCCACTTATGTGGTTTTCTCGAACTGAAGGGATGTAAGACTGGGAGTAAAAAAGGAACACACTCCAAAAGAGACCAGTGAAATTGGTACCTCATGGTTGTCTGCACCGGTTCAAAGATTCATCGGAGATTAGAATATGGATGGCCAAATTCTTTGAATTTCTCCATTTTCCAATACTGTGCTACTCATGCCTGACCGGAAAACAAGGGGTTTTCCCACCCGTGCAAAAATCAAGGGAAAATGAAAATAGCAGAAATGTGTTCCCTGGATAAAGGCGAGCATGGAAGGGAGATCTGGACGGTGATTTGACAAACTGACACACTCTTCAGGAAAAATGTAAGTCATCTATCCGAATGATAAAATTATGCTAGCCATTGGTTAAAACAATGTAACAAGGAACAGGTAATCGAATAACAGTTGCAAGCCTACGATAATCGGCCGAAAGTGTTCTCAAACATTCCCCAAACCTGGTAGTATGAGCTGGAAGTAGCTTCCTCAGTGCCACGGGATGGTAGTGTGCACGCATTAGTGGGTAGGCGGTAGAGGTGTCTATAGGTGTTCATAGCTTGAAGCATAGCTTTGGCAGTTGATCAAGTTTCTCCTTACGTGTAGTTCGCTTATGGCAGCAGGCTATCGTTCAGGACAGCTTTCAGCCTGACAGCACATTTAATGCACGAAATTTGTCAAACTTGGTCAGCCACCCACGACTAATTGTAACAAACGATAGATATCCGGTGTTTGCCACGAAACTCCGGAAGAAAACACATTTCCAACCTACAGTGACAACTATGGGTGGAAACGCGCCTTCCGATACTTCAGATTACATTGACTCATTCCCACCTCATCAGATGTTTATCATCACATCATTAACCACTGAAATACAAAGGGTTCGGCTATCCTGTAGCCAAAACATTTACATCGAAAGAAGCTAACAAAGTATTAATGAGACTATCTGCAAAAATACTGCACAGAAAGTCAAACATACCCTTTTACTACGCAGATGGAATCAGAAGTTCTGACTCATGGGCTTTTAGAATGGTTTGGTGGTTATCTTTTCGATATCAAATTAGAAGATGGTCGAGCTAGACGATCTTCATGACCTCTGCGCTGAAGATTGATGTTGGATGTTATGATTAAATAACTAAATCACTTTCTACGAACAACTCCAATGGATTCTTGAATTCATATACTGCGATCCTTATTTTCACTGAGGTTTCCTAGTTTAAAGATATGTTGAATGCGGCTGTTTAGTTTTACTGTGCCGTCACCAATGAAAACAGGTTTCACGTTGTGTAAACCATTTAAAAACGGGATGTTCAATGGCTGGTTTCAGAGGTGGTAACATTTGCACACGCTGGTACATGGATGCAATAAAATGAATCGTTATACGCTCATAAAACAACTGGGAGATGGAACTTACGGTTCTGTGCTACTTGCTACGTCTTTGGAAACGAAGGAAAAAGTAGCTATCAAAAAGTACAAAAATTGTCCGATAATTGACTGTATAGAATGAAAAGAAAGTTTTACTCTTGGAACGAGTGTCTCAATTTGCGCGAAGTCAAGGTATGTCTACCTTGTGGTCTCTGGTTATTTGTTTCAAAGTCTTTAAGTAAACTGTCTCACCCAAGTATTGTGCGACTTAGGGAAGTAGTGCGTGAAAATGACCATCTTTATTTAATATTCGAGGCACTTGAGGGGAACATTTATGAGCTTATGAAGACAAGGTAACCGTTAGTTTTTAGGCTGAGCTATGCACTGTTTTTGTGTAGATTTTGAATTTGATTTGCTCTAACATGCTTGTAGCTTCCTAACCTAGTTCTTGCCTATTATTCTTTTTAAGTCTTTAAAGCGATTGAATCATCCAAATATTGTGAAACTCCGTGAAGTGATACGTGAAAATGATGAATTATATTTCGTTTTCGAGTACATGAAGGAAAATATGTATGAAATGATTAAAAGAAGGTGGTGCTCTTGTTTTTGTGTTATTTTGCACATATTATTGATTTTGTTTTACAGTCTTTCTTAAGACCGTTTAATTACCTTTTACAGGACAAAGCTTTTTCAGGAAGAGACCATTCGAAATATAATTTGGCAAGTCCTAGATGGTCTACATTTCATGCATAAACAAGGTGACTTTGTTTCTCTTCTATTGAATTGTCGATTGATTCTATGTTGCATTGATTATGGTAAACTGGGGAAAATCATCAAGAAATTAGGTGTAACTAAAGAAAATTAAAGCTGACAGATAGTGGTGTTGCCTGCATAAATTCACACTTGCTCTGAATCTTCGATGTGTGCGTATTTGTATAAATCGTTGAGGGGCGGGCCTTAAAAACAAATGCATATACATTTCACTGGGGTGTCAGAAGTGATTTGATGTAGTGAATTGCTGAAAACTTACTGAAACTAAAGTTTCATGTGGTTTGAAAATATTTGCTAAGTAGACAACTGGACACTTAAGCGGAACTAAAAATTCAGCAATGGTTTTAAATACCTAGTGCTTCTCCAGTTTATAATGAAACTCGACTTCGTTTCATTTGCTAAAGCTAGGGGACGGTTATTCTTGAAGACTCTCAAAGTCCTTACTATACGTTGTACTTACCATTTTTGAAAGTTAAGAAATGTAACTGCGAAGTCTGATACGGCATAGCATCTAGGTAGGTCTATGCATTATCCAATTATTCATATGTCATCAAGTACTTCGCACTGTGATACCTATATATGGTGTGCATTACCACAGAAAATATGACCTACGAGGATCAATTAGGTTCCAATGTTCACTTATGCTTAAGGTGCGTAAAGGGCTTAATACCTGAGTAAACCATTTTGAAACAAAATTTTAGAGTAATTTACTTTAGTTAGTGTAGTTTTTCAGATAAACAAGTCGGAGTGTAGTGTTTTCTGAACGATGCGTTAGGAAATGTTCTGTAAATTTTTTCAGTTTATTTCGCACTGTTTCACACACGAATGTTGATCATCTTTGATCACTAGGGTTTTTTCACCGGGACATGAAGCCTGAAAATCTGTTATGCAACGGCCCAGAAACTGTAAAACTAGCTGATTTTGGACTCGCTCGTGAAATCCGTTCACAGCCTCCATATACTGACTATGTATCTACCAGGTGGTACGTTGCAAATTTTACATTTTGAATGTATTCATTCTGCTTTAAGTTTCTAAACCTGACCAACGTTTTGTATGGACCTTATGGATTTTGATGTGAAGAAACATAGATAAATGTTTGATTACATGGTTTCGGTTGTATTAGTGAGTATGTTAAGTTTCGCAAGCAGTGCACTAGAAGAAACGACTGAGACTTTCTTTTAGTTTACTTGAAACATAAGTTGCTGAAATATTTGAGATGTAGATGTCCTGCGACATTCCGTAACTGAATTCTGTATTTGTAGTCCCATACTGTAAAACGTTTAATTATCAATAGGTTTATTACCTGCATGGTATTTTATTGAGTTTTGAAATGTAGTTGTATTAGAATAGTAGCGTTTTTACGCCATTTAGCTACTTAGACCACATTTCATTATTTCGATGCAATTTTTTGCGTTTTAGAGTTGTTAAATTTGTTATCAATACATTTGCAATGAATATATGCGAAACGATAGGCTTTTTGATTTCGCTACTATTTCAAGCAAACCTACTGACTGTTATCAAACCTTGGAAATTACTTTATATATATATATATATATATATATATATATATATATATATATATATATATATATATATATATATATATAGACAACTCAAAACCTCACACAGAAGTACATCGGTCCAAGCTAGCACATCACAGTAGCATTCAAAAAACAAATGATCAGAAACAAGTTAATATCACAGTTGACAAGTGTATAAGAGGATAAGCGGTTTGAAGATGGTTAGTGAAAATATTCAAGCTTTAGTAATCAGGGAGTGAATTCAGCTGCATCACTGTGACCGGGTTTCCTCATGCCACGAAGAGTCTACAATCATTGATTCGTATGGTTTGAGGGACCCCAACCTGGTAGTCTTCACTTCCCTATAAATTTGAAACCAACAGTTAGAGACTACTTGAACTTGTACCACCTCTTGGTCTTTGTCATCTCAGCCTTCTTCAGACTAAATCCAACTTCTCCTAGCATTATTTGACATCGAGGTAGGCAATGACTCGGCATACGCAGCACATGTCCAGTCCAATTCAGTCACTGAAGGTTTACAACCTTATTGACTGACTGGCCTAGAACCATTCTCCTAACCTCTACATTAAACACGTGGTGATTCCACCGTATGTGAGCAGTACTACTATAACATCTGTGGTCAAAAACCTCTAATCTCTTCTAATCCTTTACCTTTAACGGTCACGTCACAACCGTATAGCAGAATAGAACGGACCTTATAGTCGTTCTTTAATAACTAGTCAGTTATCTCGTCAGTCGGCGCCAGAGATGATGCAAGTTGGACTGTGCCAAACGGACCACCTGTTTCCGAGCTGGTATGCCGTTCGGGATAACACGTCCCCCTAAGTTAGGTGATCGACGCATCCAACTAGGTCCCTACCTATCATTAAACTAGGTGTAGTTGCAAACCAGTCCTGAGGCACCTAACGCTTGACAGATATGAAACATGCCAAATAGACTCGGATTTCTGCACAGGTCGTTCAGAGAACACTGCAACTTGTAAATACCTTCACCTAGTTGGACACTGTCGTCTACGTGCTCCAAGTCAACCAAGGTACCCTACAGCGAGTAGGTCGGTCCTTGTGAAGTCATACGTACCCAAGGTTATGTCCATTAGTGCGTCTATAACGAATTTAAGTAGGAACGGCGACAGCAGGTATCCTCTCACAAAATCACTAGTTGCCGACAATTTACATGACAACTCTCCATAATCTTTTACATGACTGGGTGAGTTCGAGTGGATTAGAGTTATATACTTCTTCGGTACTCCTTTCATGGTTAGAAACTGCCACAACATGGTCGATAGAGTCAAATGCACGCTTCAGGTAGAAATATAGCAAGTATAGGCCGTTGATAAGTATGCATGTGATCAAGAGGGTAAAAATATGACCGACGCACCCTCGCCCATATCTGAAACCTGTGTGATTTTCTCGAGTGTTTTGTTCTCTGACGTCGGTTAGGTGTCGTATAACTATGACCTCGAGGATCTTGGACACGATATTAGTTAGGCTGATTCTCCTATGCTTGTCACAAGAGGATTTATCTCCTCTTATAGAGTTGAACGATAAGTGAAATAGACCGGTCTGACGACACTACCTCTGATTCCCGTACACTACCTAGTACCTGCATCACTTTAATTAGCAATTTCCTGCCTCCATCCTTGAAAACGTTGAGTGGCAAACTGTCAGGTCCTGCTGCTTTGCATCGTTTCAGATTCGATACAACCTTTCCAACTTCGACGATATTCAGAGGACTGAATTCTACGTCCCATTCAGGTTCAGACTGGTTATTGGCCAACTGGGGGGGGGGGGCGGGGGCAGCTGAGCTGTGCTTCAAAGTGTTCTCCCCAACGTTTTAGCCTTCTGTCCTGAGTTGTCAGGCTACCGTCTTTCTTGGTCATGGTGTCGCTAACTACAGTCTTTTTCTTGGTACCCTAGTAAACCTAAGTAGTTGCAGTGTTATTCAACGCTGATGCCTTTTTCATCTTTCTCCATCTCGCCACGCACCACTGCTCAGGATAATTGCGCAGACTCTTGGTCAATTTATTTTTAAATGATTTTCACTCGTTATTGTGGTCTTCTTTCAGTCTCCTTTCGTCAATCAGTTCAAATGACGCTGCAGAAATCCAACACTGTCTCCAAACCTTTGGATGTAGGTTACCAACTGTCTTTACGGTTGCTTATACAGCAGAATTTATACCACGTGAGGTTTCCTCAAGATGAGTATTTCTGTCTCATTCAGTTAAATACTTAGCTATCTCCCTAAATGCACACAACGTTTTCATCTTCCAGTCGAGCGCAAGCAGGCTTAACTACTGCCTATTTTCTGCGACTAGTTAGGTGCAGACGTACACGTGGCCGTACTAATGAGCGATCGGAGTCCAAACAAGTACTCCAAAAAGAACGGTAATCCTTCAACGATCCTCTCCAACGATGGCTTATAGCAACGTGATATATCTGTGTCCCTCATTGGTTTGATTTTGTGGAAGCCATGTTAGACAGTGTCTTTCCTTATGCTTAGTTAGTGCTGGCCAAAAGCAAGTAGTTATCTGGAAAACATTGCAGCAGGTGATCACCATTGTCGGTTCGTTGGCATGGGATTCTGTGGATACATGCATTGATTGACCGTTTTATGACCAGTTTTATGTCTGGTCCTGAGTGCTGACCGAATTGTAAAAATGTTTAATAGAATTCGGTCAGCACTCAACTAAACAACATGAAGTTGGTTGCTCTCCCGCGATCAATCAATGGATATAACCCAGTCTTACCGGAAGTCAACTGCGGCTTTCTACAACACTGAGTGACACAGGTTTGAATCTCAGGCTGGGCATCAATTCCGTTGAGGTTACAGATACGCTGTCTGATAGACCTCGTAATGATAGGACCTCAAGAAACAAATGTTTCAGCGGGAAAGAGACACTTGCCCATTATTTGTTGTATCGGTCTAACCACTTTTGCCCTTTCTTTCGTAATCCTGTTGGTTATTATGGAATAAGAACCAGATAATAGACATTGATAGATTTTCTTGTCATACATTTTTTATCGAGGACCACTTTTATTTCCACTGTCTTCCTGATCAATTACTATAGTTTTATCGTCTCGTATTGTTTTCATCTCCTTCTTTATGATACTGGATTCCCTATTTTTGTTTCTTTGATGTTAGTGCACACTGAACTCGTAGTAATTCTACTCTTTTAATTGCATCACCCTAGTGCTGATTGTTACACCCTTTGGCTTTAGTTTTGTATTACTAACAATCTAATTATTTTTTTAGATTTCTTCCCTTCACCTATGTTAACTTTCTGTCTGAAAAATTTGCAACTCTGTTTCTGTTACATTTTTGTAGTTTTTGTTATTACTATCTACAAGTTTGTCGAATTTTTCTAAGACTTTTCTGTCGATTTTTTTCGTAGATCGTTTCGTCTATTCATTGTCATGTCAAACTATTCTTTCTGTGGTTTTGCTCCCAGCATTTCCCTAACCTCATTTATGTTCTTCCTAATAGTGAATAACTTGAAATATCACCACAGTGCGAAACTCAACTGCATGTTAATATTCACTACAAATATATTTATAATTCACTGTTTAACTTATATATCTAAGTCTACGTAACGTTTGTTCTTAGGAAGTGAATACGTACTAGGGTAGTTACTGCGCAGAAATGATTTTGACGCACTAAGCTATCAGGTAGTATTCATCATCATTAAAGTGATGATTTATATTGAAGTTTGGCACTACAGTTATAGGACTTGAAAAGGGTTTCGAAAAAGGTTCTCTTTATCGGTCAATAAATGAAATAGAGTGAAACCCTAACCATAAAGTTGGATAGGTTCAAGTTGATATATATTTCAGCAATAAAGAGAAAGGAAATCAGCAAAAGTAGGAAGTTATTCGGATTATTAAGGTTATTAGTTGGAAGCGAACTAAGTAAGGTGAAATAACAAGATGTTCAATGTCCCATGTAAGATAGTAAATGAATATACGTCTCCATGTTGGATTTTAGCACGGTACTAAAATCCCAGCTATTTGATAAGGTAAATGATATAGCTCAAAATGGATGTTCTTAAAACTGGTTAAAATTTCATCCATTTCGTGTACTTTCCTTGGTAGGTATCGGGCTCCCGAGGTGCTTTTAAGGTCAACAAGCTATAATTCACCAGTTGATTTATTTGCCGTGGGCTGTATAATGGCAGAACTGTACACATTTCGTCCATTGTTCCCTGGAAGTTCGGAAATTGATATGGTTTTCAAGATTTGTTCTGTTTTGGGTACACCTTCTAAGGTAAGTTAATTTATTTGGTTAACATGTTAATTCGGCGATGAAGATTTAATCGTCACAGTTGCTTTTTATTGCCTTTATAATAAAAGTTTCTTGCTGTACTTAGGAAGGATTTCGGAAGACAAATTTTGACTTATTTCCGAAACAGTGCCGAAAGCCAATTTTTACTCATGGCTTTACATTCAATTCAGTAGTATAAATCAAACATTAAATGTTTTAACTGACACTGCATAACATTCAGTTTTCCTATTTTCCGGGTTTGTACGACCTTACAAACTGTAATCGTGTTACTCTGTTTTGGGCCTATCAAAACAGATTGTTTGTAGTGCTATTGATGCATTCCCTCTTACCTTTCTTGAAACAATGTTTGATGAAACAATGAACATTTTATTCTAGCTGTTACTGCCTGGATATTGTTCGTAATCATGTTTGATTTGGACTTTTTAAAATTATCCTTGCAAACAGATGTCTGCCTTATATCTTCGTAATAACCTATCCGATTACACCACTACTATTATACTACCTTGTTAGTACCGTGCATGAATTTTTTAAAGTACCTTGTAGCAAACCGGACTTTTATGTCCTTAGAATAAAGGGATTGTTTTTGCTCTGGAACAGAGCTAAGAATGTATGTATCCATGTAGACTATAATTAAGACCTTTAATTTATTCCACCTTCGTCTAGAGTTTTAGTCTGAAAAAATAATGCTATATAGACACTTTAACAGTAAGTCACTGAAAATCTTGAAGCTGCGAATAAATTAATATGCCTAACAATTGTTTCATGAGATTGTCTTTCACTGTCACCACGTGGCAGTAACTCAGTAATCCATAAGTAGAATTACTAGTAGGTTGATCATGTTCCTAATTCTATTTTACTCACTTCAAAATTTATTGATCGGAATAAACGCCTAACGAATGGTGTTTATAATATATCACTCAGGCATTTTCCGTGTTATATTCGCACAATTTAGGCAAGGAATTTAATCCTCCTCTTTTATTTCGTGAAACTTTAACTTCCTGAAGTTAACGTTACTCTGTTGAAAGGTGTTTCATCAGTCCAGCCATTTCATAATTTCCAGGAGTTCAGCTACCGTCGGATGCTGAGACCTTAGGTTTCAATGTTGTATGACAGATGTGATATTTCCGAGCCATCGCTTTACAGTCTGAAGGAATAGAAACATCTTATTCCATGACTTTTTTCAAACCATCAGGTTTGAAATCTTGTAAGTAATTTTTGAGAACCTTAACTATGTGTCTCTGAAGCTATTTATTCATAATCGCATCTAACAAATATCCCATATCTCTGAAAGTATTGATCATTGCGTACTACAGAAATAACTATGACAGCTTTTTTATTGATAATAATTTCCTGTTGATTATTATGCTTGACTGAATTCATCGGGTTCTCTTGGCGTGTAGACTGCTTGAACACACTTCAATTTTTGATGCGATGTTATTTTCTTATTGGTGAGCAGCATTGGAATCCAGGAGGCACATTTTGTCCTATTTGAGACTCATCAGCTGGACGTACGTTCATCCAAGTGAGTGATGGTATTCCTACTGGAACTTGAACGTGACTACCATTTCCCCAAACATTAGGGTGGTATACACCAAACTGCATTTGAGTATCAAGGAGAACACCACCACTCATTGAGATGTAGATATTTCCAGACGAAAAGTCCCAAGAAGGACGAAACACACGCCCTGAATACCACTGCCAGCCACTATTAAACAAATAACTATAACAACTTAATGTCTATATATGGCATCTCGCCAATAAGGTAACAACTGGGATTTATACTAGATCTTTACTTTTGAAGCACAGTACAGTAAATGAACTTTAATGAAGTAATATTCTACCACAGTGCCTAAATTTTACTGTTACACTGACCAACTTGAAATGGTTTTATGTCGAACTAACCAGATCAAAGAATGAGTCGTCAGGATTCTCCACTCATTACTCTTCAACAAAATTATTCTTTTAAAGTGAGGAACTCTTCTTGCGTGGTCTGATCAGTGTAACGAGTAAACTTCCAATCTTCGCATTACTGCTATAATCGATCCGGATATGGGGAAGGGGTTACTGGTGTACGTTTTGTGTGGTGTTGTTTTGGGTCAGAAATATATTGTCAGACAAGAATCTATAAACTGCATAATACTTCCACAGTTTCTTGGTTCAGAAAATCTCTGTAATTGGCGAGTATAAGAGTCCAGGCATCCCTTACTAGTTTTAGTTCATTTCACGTGAATATAGCTCCAGTCTTAAACGACCACATCAATTGAACGTTATCGATATAAATACACTTTTCCAAAATAATGAAAAAGGTTTGTACCTCAGAACAAGGATGATGGTGGTTCCATGTTCTCTAAGCCTTGGTATTTTGGCGTGGATATTTCATCACAAGGCTTGGTGACATCGTCAGCACTAACTTCGTAAAGAAGTGAAACATATTTGAATGTTACGTGAATATTTAGGTATTGTTTTTGCTTACCTTGAGTGCTGTCCCGTTGTTATTTGGGGAAGAGACTTCCGTCACACCATGACCTCTTTAACCTTAATTTCCGCTCAGTCATTCTGGTAGAGAATCTTTGATAGGGTGAGATTGTGCTATTTGTTACTGTAACATTGTGCTTTATTATTGGTTTCTTGATCGATTTGCTCTTGGTTGGCGAATGTCTATATTTCTTCTTAGGTAGATTATAGATTGGGTCTATTACCACGCGTTTTTGTTAACCGACTGATTTTGGAATGCCATGCTCCTAGAAATTCTTTTGTAGCCTTCGAACATATTATCTGGAGGATTTCTACATTCTCCTAGTTGAATTTGTTATCGTAATTGTTTGCAGGCATTAAAACCAAAGGGGGTTGCATCATATTGCTTTACTGTTAGTTTGTGTTTATAAATTCTTTAAGCATCTAGCCAAAGTGTTGCTGGGAACAATATCATTTAGCTTGCACAACATGCTCTATGGTGATTTCGGTGGGTTTGTGCCCCTCCAATTCCGAACGGAAGAAGCAGTCGGTTGATGGTTTCGGAAACATTTTTGATGTAGGGTAGAGTAACGCGCTTTTTGATTTGAGATAATTATACTGTCCTCTTTTCTGCTGATAAAACACTTTTGATAAAGTTGCGTGTATAATCAATGACTTTAAATATTTTGTACAAGTATTTTTCTTCACTTCCCCGAAAGTTTTCTCATTTAGTTGATCAATTTGTTGCATGACTGTAAATGCTTTGGCTATTTTCAAAATTCCTCTCGATAGATTTAATGCTGGAGTTCCTAGAAGTAAAAAGCCTGGTCATGGAGGCATTCCTGAGTTGCGCAGTTTTTACCCAGTGGAAGATATAGAAGAATACTTCCTTTGAATTGGTTTCATTATTAATCTTGTTTTGATACTATTTGAATTTATACATTACCCTTTTGCAATGCACATATGTTGCTCATTTGATCCATAGGTATCAAATGCAATCTCGCCCTACCTAATTCCACCTGAGCAACCGGGTAAAAACATCAGTTCTCACAATAATTGCAGCTCTTAGCGTAGGGTATGAAACAACTGTGCCGAGTCGGGTTTCCTTTACCTCGAACTTTTAAACAAATCACTAACTCGCTAGCGACACCATTCTCTAAAAATTAGAAAATCTAGATCTGCGAAATGCGGGTAGGGAAAAGAAACTTTATTATTATTTATTTGTCAGTTGGTTTCCTCGTGGAACATAGGGCTTCAGTAGCACGTCTCCATTCCACTCCCTTCTCTGCAGTCTTTTGAACCTGGCTCCACGACTGCCCAAACGCTTTCATTTCTTCCTCACATGATCTCCTCCTTGTCACCCCCAGCTGGGACACCCAACTCGTCGTTTCCCCTTTGGATTCCACTTGAGGGCCTGGTCTGGGAGTGGTGTCTCGAAACGGTCTTCTCAGTGTGTGTCCAATACAATCCATCTCCACTTTCTTCTGCATATTTGTTGGGCGATGAGTTCTTGGTTGTTTCGTTGCCCGACCAGAGTTCCTTGTTGCTTATTCTTATTATTCTGACCATCTGGTCTTCAGTATGAGTGGGCGTAGGCGGCAGCTGTTGATGAATGTCTGTATTTTGTTGGAAATGCTTTTCGTAACTCCCCAAGTTTGTGAACCATATAGAAGCACTGACTTGTCTGCATTAGTGTTTAAACTCCCGATGTTCGTCTTTATCCTGAGTGCAGCAGATCTCCACACTGGTTTCAGGCTGATGAACGCCTGTCTTACTTTTCCCATTCTGACTTTGACATCCTCGTCTGTCCAGCCTGTAATTGAAACAGTGCTGCCTAGATAGGTGAAGGTGGTTACTTCCCTTAAGTTTCTCCCGTTGATGGTGATTGGAGTTTGTTGTTGGTGTTGTTGGAGTTGTTGGTGCGGTATCTTCATCACCTCTGTCTTCTCTATATTCACCTGAAGTCCCATCTTCGTTGCTTCTTCTGTCAACTTGTTAGTTTTCGCCTGTAGGTCTTCAAGTTTGTGCGACATCAGACACAAGTCATCGGCGACATCCAAGTCTTCTAGGTTCTTTTCCCCGGTCCGGCCAGCGTATCCCCCTCTTCTCGCTCCTCACTGTTTGTTGCATGATCCAGTCGACCACAATCAGGAAGATCATCGGTGATAGTAGGCGGCAGCCTTGTTTTACTCCTGTCTTCACTTCAAAAGCATCACTGAGCTTCCCATTGTGAATCACTTGACATGTGGCATCTTCATATAGTTGTTGAATGAGGTTGATAAAGGTTTGCGGTATTCCGTAGTGTTGAAGCAGTTTCCAAATTACTTGTCGGTCGACGCTGTCGAAGGCCTTCTCAAAGTCGATGAAGTTGAGGTAGAGAGTCGACTGCCATTCTATACTCTGTTCTATGATGATGCGTAGTGTAGCGTTGCAATTTGATCCGCACATGATTTGTACTTCCTGAATCCAGCCAGCCAGCCAGCCTGTTGCGGTCGTAGTTTTGAATCCAGTGCATCCTTTAGTCTCTCCAGGATGATGCGGCTTAATATTTTGCTTGCTGTGGGTGGACAGGAGCGTGATTCCGCGCCAGTTCTTGCAAAGACTTAGGTCTCCCTTCTTTGGGAGTTTGACGAGGTACCCCTTCTTCCAGTCTGCAGATACCTTTCGTTCTTTCCTTGCAAACCTTCCGCAGTAGTGGTGTGAGCATGTCCGCTGTTGTCTCTGCGTCTGTTCTCAGTGCTTCTGGAGGAATTCTATCTGGTCCTGCTGCTTTCCCGCATTTCAGTAGCTTTAAGGCGTTCAGGACTTCGACCTTCGTTGGAGGATTTATGTTCACTTGTAGTTCTGTGGCTGGGCTGCAGGTGATATTTCTGGACGACGTGCAGGTGGTGGTCGATTCAAGAGCTTCTTGAAGTGGTCAGCCCATCGTTTCCTTTGTTTCTCTTCTTTGGTAATTAATTCCCTTCATCATCTTTTATTGGCTTCATCTGCGTTGATCTCTTCCCAGATAGTAGCCTACTTATTTGATATAATGTTGTCAGGTCTCTGTCTCTCTTACCAGCAGCCTGTTCTGCTTAACTTGCCAATGTGTCGTAGCAGTGTCTTTTGTCTTTGCGCGTACTCTTCTTCACTTCTTTGTCCAGTGTTTTGTACGCTGTACTCAGTTCTTCTTTTCGTTGTTCACTCTTGCGCTGCACTGGTTCATCTTCTGCTTCACCATCTTCCTCTCCCTGCTCTATCAGCTTCCATGTGTCCGTCGAGATCCATTCCTTGTCTTGCTTCTTCTTCCTTCCTAATACGGTTGTGCAGGTTTCTTTCCACATCTCTTCCAAGGACTTCCTGTGTTCATCCACACAGGTTTCTTCAGGTATGTTGCTCGATATCTCCCTTTTTGTCTTGATGGCTTACTGGCGTGAAGATGTCTCCTCAGTTTCTGGGTGTTGAACTTGAACTGTGGTCTATCACCAACTTCCTTGAGGGCTTTCAACTTGATTTGGAAGGTTCCTTGCACTAGGTAGTCAGTGGTCTGAGCCTGCATCTACTCCTCTTCTTGACCTAGTGTCAAGTAGGCTGCGTCTCCACTTTCTTGAGATTGAGATGAAGTCGATCTGATTTTTAGTGTGTCCTCGTGTCTGGTGAAATCCATGTCGCTCGCTTTGTGGATATCCTTGTGCTTGAACACAGTGCCTCCAATCACCAAATCGTTGAATGCAAACAATTCTCTATTCTCGTTCATTTCACCTAGCGCTTCTCGACCCATGGTTAGTTCTCTTCCTGTGTTGTCCGCTCCCAGTTTGGTGTTCATGTCACCCATTATAATTCGGATGTCACCAGCTGGGCTGGGGTTATGTCCATTACTGATTGCAGTTGTCTATAGAATTCCTCCTTTTTCTCTTGCTCTGCATTATTTGTAGGTGCGTAGTATTGTATGATTGTGACTTTCCTTCTTCCTTTTGAGTTGAACCTTGGTGTCATGATCCTGATGCTGGAGGAGATTGGTTCCCACTGCATGAGAGCCTTCGATGCTGTTGGGGACATCATGATAGTCACTCCGCAACTCAGTGTGCTCGTGGTTGTCGTCTGGGTGACAATATCGGAGTAGATTATTGACTTCTCTCCAAATGACAGTTTGGAGAGTCCACTTCCATTCCGTCTGCTTTCGCAAATTCCTAGCACTTCAATGTGATACCTTCTCATCTCGTTTGCAATCTGGGCAGCCTTGGTAGGTTCATACATGGTGCGGACATTCCATGTCCCTATGCTTACTTTCGCTTAGATCGAGAGGAGAGAAGAGAAGACAAGTCGGCCAATTGGCATCCCGAAGGCTTTCACCAACTGGCGTCATTTCGCCTCTCCGATTCCAGCGAGGAATAAGTTTGTTTTTGTTTTTTACATTTTGTTTGTGCTTTGAAATTTCTTTAGCGGTTTGATTGGTTTTAGGGGGTAGGGTTGCTGGCCCTACGCTCAACCTTCCCTCTTTATCCGGGCTTAGGACCATCTAGTAACTAGTGTACTAGTTAACCAGTCGATGTTAGGGAAAAGAAACTTGTTTGCTTTGTTATCCCAACTGCACTGGTTCTGGAAGGAAATACTCTGTACTTTCTCATGTAGTTGAGTATTTATAAAATGGTATGAGAAATGCAGTGAATTATGTGTTATTTTAACATAAAGAAAGAATTACCTTGAAGTCTTGAAAGTTATGTTTCCCCGCTAAAAGCGAAAGTAGTACAGATTTCTCTGATTTATGACTATCTACAATTTTGCAATAGCCTCTGGTAAGATTTTAAGGGCGTAAAATTTTGAAGTTTAGATTGATTGAACTAATCTGGGGTTCTCATACAATACCTAGAATCCTTCTTAAGCATTGGAATGATAAAGAGAAAGGTCTCATGGGAAGAGCTATCACATTCTTGTGTCTATTTGAATTCCATCTTGGTACATCTGGGTAGCCACTCCTAATCGCTCATAGGAATACTTCCATCTTGGTTTATTGATATTTTTCAGATGTGTCATTATCATTGTAGCAGCTGCTGCCTGACATGTTATTGTATTCACGCTTTTAAAAAATTAGACCGATTGGCCTGAGGGACATCAACTAGCGGCTGCCATGAATTTCAAATTCCCACAATGTTCTCCGGTACCGTTACACACTCTAATTCCAAATGCTAATCATGAAGGTATTCAACTTATTCTGGACCTTATTTCTTGGAACCCCAAACACCGACCGACGGCACGTGAAGTAAGAGATCTCTGTCAACTTCTTATGCAATCCTTAAATCGCTTTTAGTTTAAATGTTTTATTTTGTGATAATTATATAACCATCTTACCTTCTCCCACAATAACATTAGTAAATCTTACTACTTAGAATTAACATTTGTTTTGTTCACTTATGAAAAGCTGGTTTTTCATATTGTTGAGGCAATGTCATCTAAGCAAATACTATTTCATCAACAAATTCATTGAAACATCCACTTTGGACAACACTGTGTTAACAAATTTAAATTGGATTTCCGAAGAACTCGTCGGTCTGTAGAAGTACTTTTCATGACATTAATTAACGAGCTTCTGAAAGCTATATTTCTAAGAGCATTGTAAAGTCATACACAAGAAATCAGTATAAACCAATTTATGTTACTAACATCCTTCCATCTTCCTTTACCGAAGAATTTTCCTGATCGACAGCTGCGACATTGACTGGATAGCTTTCTATGTGACAATGACCTAACAAACTGTGATGATGCAACAGCAGCAATTGTTCCCTTGATTTCCTACCATGCCAGAAGGGTCTGATGGAGAATGGTAAAACGAAAAACAGTTACCGTTATGGTGTAAATGACTACGTTCTAATGAGGTCTGAGGGTGAAGTTGTACTACTGGCTGAATGGAAGTGTGACAGAAGTATAGTGTTTCTCGCGGATGGTCAACAGTACCGTGATAGTGCTGCCTTTCCTATAGGAGGAGGTGAGGCGTTAGAAAAGGTCAACCCCAAAAGTAGTACACTCCTCTCAGCCCTGTTCTCTTCCAGTGTGGCCAGTATGGATCTATGAATGGATTTAAAACAAACAAACTTAAATCTCAAAATTCCGAAAAGGCCGTGTGTGACTGTTTTCAACCAGTTTCCGATCGGTCTGTGTGGTCGCACACACACACCACTATTACTAATCCAGCTTCTTTTTCAGGTACCTCAAGAAGAAGTAACCTTTCATGGTCTGGGTGACTTAGAAGTATCGACTGTCCTTTCGGCTCTGTCAACACTCAAACTGCTTCATATCATTGTCAACCTCCATCATCATTGTCTTCTAATCTCCAATGTCGTTTCTCGGTCGATATTCCTACGTCATCCCTAATTCCTTCCACTTTGATTGCTGTCGATAACGATTCGAGTTCACGGAATAGGGTCTCTGGCCTCCTGTAACTTGAACAGTGGATTTTGTTGGTAACAGAACTGTATGTATTACCATTTAAGTACTCTGATCATCCGACCAATTTGTAGTTAGTTTACACATTCGAACTTAGGAATTCCTCGCAGTTAGCATCTGGCTTGTATATGATGGTTACTCGCCTTAGAAATATAATGACATGTATTCGTACTACAAATATCGATACATTCAGTCTTTAAAGTTTAATATGAAGACAGCTACTTTCTGATGATAATGAACCTATTTTAAGGCTCATCAGCCATTTAGTTTCAAACCAACTATTTTACTGCAACTTGCTGGTTACAGAATATAGGAACTTTTAGCATGGCTCGTAGGTGTAGGTCTGCTAATTTTTTGTGATCTATCCCGCATTCGTTTAACTATCAGCTGTCGAACAAATAATCTACAGCTCTGTTATGTTGGTTGTTTTTACCACTTTATTTCATTCTTCATAGACCTATAGCTTTTCCGCAATATCTTTTACTATGGCTACATAATAATGTTTGTTCTTTCGTGGTAGATTTCGAGCCTTCGTATTACTGTATCTAGGTGAGCATAGCTATATATTACTTCTTACTTCAAGGCTCTTCAGTCGATGTTTAATCGTATTTTTTGAGGTAATCTTTAGAATTCTTTCCTTACAATGCAGTTGTATAGAAATACCTACAACGATTAGGACATAACTTTAATCATAAATTTGTGATTGGTAATTCATACTAGCTAAACGGATAGGATTCCTTAGTCCATCTTCGAAGCTTAAATGAGAAAAATCTATTCTTGTGTGCATAAACTTATCAAATTCAATGGAGAAATGTTTATAAATTTTTGAGAAATTTCTTCAGTGCTATAACACCTTGATTTCGGAATCTTACCCTAAGGAATTCAGCTTTTGTTCGCTTACATTTCCAACTGTCTTGTGTATTTAAAGGTTAGTATCTGCAAAGGTTGAGCTGACTAACACACAGTTAATTGTATTATTCAAAGTTGTCTGCCGTCATGCCGCTTGTTTAGATTAGGCTAATGTCTAGTTTTAGTCGCTACACCCTTATGTATGATTCTAACTCAATGCACATTAAATTTATCATTTCAAACTAATCACAATTTATTCATGTTAAACTTAGTCTGCTCATGGTTCTTAGCGAGATGCATATCATGACATCACAGTAAGAAAATTGTAATAGGTTTCAATAATGTGAAGTGTATGAGTAAAAACGTTTTTAACATGTAAGCTTAAAGCATCGAAAAAGAGACTATCTTGATGTGATAACTTGTACGTCTGTCATTGATTGGATTGAATTGGTCAGTCACTGTTGGGATGTGGCCCCCTGTAGGGATGCTTCGAAATTACCGGTATTGCCCATGAATTTGAATCAATCAACGATAGAAACGTACATCAAGAAAACCATGCTATTTCCGTCGCACAAGAAGTGGCTATCGCGACTCAGTGTCCTAATGGACAATGCTTTGGCGTTTGAAGTGATCGGTCTTGCGTTCCAGTCTTAATGGAACAACACTACTCACTAAGAGGTAGGTGCATCCAACTACCGAGTCTCAACTGGGACGAAATCTACTTCCTGGATACCACTGTTAGCCTCTACCCATCATTAATATCAAAAAAGGTTTCTTCAAGAGGTTGGATAAAGCTAGAGATAAATCATGTCAACATAAAACCTGACATTGCTGCCTAGCTTTCCAAGTTACCATGCATCGCATCAGCACGTCAGGCAGCAATACTTCAAAACGAAAGACGTAAAACTGAAGAAAGTGGCCAATGTAGTAGAAAGCCATGAAAGAGGAGGAATCAGACAACGCTGAAGTTCAGCGTAACGATTGAGGTTGAGATAATATGTGGATCCATCGGAGCCACTGACATCGATTCTGGGCCATATCGCGCAAATTCTCCAATCACCGGAGATCCTACATTTCCCTACATGACTAGGACTAGCAGTAAAAGATGTCATGCACTGACGCCATGGTCTAATCTGGACTTCTCTAACCTTCCAGGTTAAACCTACTTCAGCTATCAATGTGCCACGAGACAGATGGTAACTAGACATGCGTAACATATTTCGGCCACGTGATTCGTCAAAGGTTCTCAGTGTTATCGACTTACATTCCTCTTCATTTAAAAGCTCCACACCTGACTTTTGCGTTGTTAATATGGTGACACCATGGCCCACAACCTAAGCCATGTAGGTAATGATGGTCGAACACATGAGTCCTCATGTCTTCTACCCTTAATGGCCACATTTCGCAACCATATAATAGAACAGGGGAGCTACAGAGCAGTAAACTTGACTCTTAATAGTCAATTGCGTATCACAACAGCTCTAAAAATAGTGTAAGTTGGCGAAAGCCAATCTAGCCTTTTGCAACCGTGCAGAGAGTTCGTCAATCACTGACCCACCAGGTTTGGATCCAACTACTCAGGTAAGCAAAGTGGTAAACGCACTCAACCATTTTACTCCGTTTTGTTAGATGGGGTACCACTGAGGACCATTCCTTGTGTAGCAATTTGCATTTGGGTGGTGAAGAATGCTACCCAACCATTTTCAAACTGCCAGTGTCTTCAATAGATGGTGTAATTTGTCAACATCTTTACCTAACACAACTATCTCATCTGCGTACTCGAAGACTACTGGGGAGTATCTTGTGACAAAATCAATCCGTGTAAAGTCAGATGATCAGAAGGAGTCATCCATACGTACCCCCATGGCAAAATTTAATAAGAATGAAGAGAGTGAACTCCCTTGACAGACAGCACTCACCTGTATCTCACCACACCCCCATGTGTATTCGAGTACAAAGCCTTTAATAGATAGACAAAGTCAGCCTTAGAATGGCGCACAGAAGTGCATCAGTTCTAGTTACCAGACTTCAAAGTACGTTGTGAACCTTCACCGACTGAGGTGTCTTGGTTATATGTTGCGCATGCCCAGCCACCACCTACCTCGACAAAGCCATGCTAGCCGAAGTTGGATTACGTTAAAAGAAGGCTCTGGGTGGCCAGGTCAAGAGATAGTGTAGGAAACGAGAAAATTGAGACTCAGGAAGGAATGTTTATTACTGACATATGGTACGGTAGTCATCAAATATTGTACACTTCCCACTAAGACAGTCATCTGCACAATGTACTTCATTTCCTCTTCTGCTTCTATCTTGATTTGGTTTTATTACACCCGCATTGTCTCTTGTGTTTCTTTGGGCAGAATTCTTATCCATTGCTGATAATTCCCTGTGATTTCTGCCACCCTCTCAACACATACTACTTATATCCGTTCTAATCAGCAGCGCCCACTATAATAGCACCAATTCATGGAGTCTGTTTGTCCTTCCCAGTCGTGTAGAGAGGTGTATACTGCTACCGGGATAAGATTCCCAAGAAGATAGGAATTAGTGGTTTAGGTGATTTGATGATGTTGCTGAAAATCAATCACAACGGCGCAGATGTATACACTTTTTGATTTTCGTGATAACTTGAATGTTTTAACTTACCTTCATCTTCAAACTCCTTCTCCTCTCATACACCTTTATCTGATTTAATATGTCTTTTTCTATCCACTTGTTCTTTTCATGCTACTGTGAAGTACACCTACTTGAAACGATGTACCTGTATGCGAGGTTCTACGTCGATTTCGTTTATCTAACTTGATGCTAGCACATAAAGAACAACTGGAAAGAAAATGACGTATCAAATAAGACCAGAGTGTCTGCAAAGAGAAAGAATTTGAAGAGGTTCTTTGAAATATACAAGTTTCTGGAGACGTCAAAGAACGAGTACATCTGCGCCAGTATGACTGATTTTTGGCATGTCACCAA